ACTGCGAGCATGCGACGCAGCATTCGCAAGAGCAGCAAGAAAAACTAGCAAAAACGTTTTTTGGGGACAAGACTATACACTACAGTTGAACCAGGCACCTCAAGTATTAGTCGTAGTCTTGTTTTTGTCTTGCAAGTCCATTCAGTGCAATCACAAACTCTCGCTTGACAGTTCAGTGAAGAGGAGTACACAGAGACTTGGTAAAGCACCAGTACCTATTTCTTTGAGAGCTTTACCCTCAGCAAACAACTGCGCGTCCTCCTCGTTATCGAATTTCTTAAACTTAGCGCCTTTGAAATCTTTTGTCGCCTCCTGGCATTCTGCCCATGTTTTGAATACGCCAGTTTGGTGGCCACGAGCAACAGCATAGAATGCAGCTGGCTTCTCGTTATCCGACTGAAAGATGAAAAATGCTGTAAAACTGTATGACTCAGTCGAAAACATGATCAAGCATGCAGATTGAGCACATTAATCAAGCAAGAATCGATGGTTATCCTCGCCTCTTTCTTCTGCTCCGTCTTTTCTGCCTCTTTAACTTCTTTCTCATTGTTATTGGCAACTGGCTTTGCTTCTGAAATTACTAATTACAAGGCACGATGAATCATCATAAACCATGATTTCACGATCATAAACACGATTTCTCCGATCATAAATCATGATTTCTTTTTCTTCATCCTTCCACTCCACTGCAATCAATTCCAAGCTTGTGCATTTCCGCCGCTTATTAAGTTAATCGTTCGATCTGTGATTTCCACAAAATCCAATTAGCAACTGCTCTTCGCGTGATCTTTCTTCCCAGCATCAGCAAATTACTTTAACGAAATTCGATTAATTAAGGATATCATCATAGCTGCCCTGAAGCAATCAGTTACTCTGAAATAATGTTCCTGCAAAATAAAAAGAGCGTATATGTTCACTGTAAAAAACCCTTTCTGTATTACCTTCTCCTTCGTCTCGACTTGTTTCTTCGTCACACGAATACTTTTTGTAAAAAGCCTTCGCTTCATCCAAATTATCAAATTTCTTATATAGTGGTTGTGGGTAATCCGCTATCTGAAACAA